AGTGGTTTCCCTTATTTTATTTTTTCAGTTTTCTATTTGATCTTTCAGCATTTTTTTTGGATTACCTTTTTGAATTTTCCTTTATATATATTTTTGATTTCTTTCTTTCTTTCTTAAGAAGTAAATTTTTAATAATATATACACTTTGTTTTAAGTTTCTTTTTTTTCTTTTTCAAGAAGAAGTTTTTCAATAATATAAACACATAGTTTTCAATTTCTTTTTTTCAAGAAGTAAATTTTCAAAAAATAATCACTTTTCCTAATACATGACATTATTTTTCCAATAATATTTTTTAAATAACATTGTTCCCCAATACATGTAATGACAAACTTTGCCTTTTAATAATATTTTAAACTACATTACTTAAAAATAACAATGAATATTTTTTAAAATACAAAATTATTTTTATTAGATGAAATCTTTTGAGGGACATTTTATAAAGTATTAGGTATTTTTGAAAAGTGTTTGGATTTTTTTATTTTTGTGGAATATCTTTGAAAATGCCATGTAATATAAAATAATGTTCACACACTTTTGAAAAATATATGATCAGTTTTTTTTTACATCAAATCACCATATTATCTTTTAAAAGAGTATCAAAAATCTCTATGTGTGGATCTTCCATCCACTCCGCACTCACTTTTGAGAAATATATGTTCAGTTGATTTTAAAGAGTATCCATATTTGTTTTAGAAAAATAATCTTGTTTTATGTTAAACAAAAAACCGAGTGATGAACCAGAGGTCCAGAGCGAACCTAGATAAACCAAAAAAGAAAAAGAAAGGAGTGCTCAGAAAGGCGTCTACTGGGGCGGCCCATGATGGAAATCGCTGTTGTGTCGACTATGTGACTGTGGGCAACACATAGGAGGACACACCGGTTCTTTTTGTGCGGGGAAAGGAGGACACACTGTTCTTAAAAAATGGAGGACACACAAATAGGAAATAGATGATGGCTTGAACAACCCTCGTAGCTTATGCAACTTCTTCATGTTTGCTTTACCAATTGCAGAGACACATCTAGCAAAAAGTAATTATACGGTAAAAAAAATGTTGGCATGATTAAGAATCTACGCCAAGTCAAAAATAATTACCCCAATGTAGCAACAACTCCATAAACTTCAGGTGACAGATATGTGAAATGCTACAGATGATAGAGATCAATGCCCCAAAACTCTCCACTTTTAACTTCGGAGGAAGAGAACGCCCTGGATAAGAATCTTTTATGGAGAGCCCCATCATAATCCATTGCAAGTCAAAACACATACTGACATACCAATTGGTTATACATTCAAAAATCATGTCTTCTCTTTTCTTGTGCTGCTAAAATTAAATCGGCCGATCTGTTTCTCAGACAGAGAGAAAAACAGGGTGAATAATCCAACATACACCGACAAAGTTCTTGAGAGGCAATTGGATAGCAAAAGCGAACAAGAAAGGCCAAGTTTTTGCACTGAACAATAACATGGGCATTATTATTTTAGCACAGGTAACCACTGTGACATGCAAGCATAGATTCAGATATAAAGATGTTGCACAGTACACTGAATGTTGATGTCCACACTGAAGAACAAATGAAAAAATTGACTTGTTTGCGTACCATTCATCGACAGCCTACTACAGACTGAAGCTAGAAGGGAAATAACAGGCGGGCAAACCCCATTCTCTCTTGCTTATAACATTGTTAGGAAGCAAGGGGCTACAAAGAGAAACAAAAGATACTGTATGATTCATCTCAGCCTTCTCCCTTTCTGATTTTTCCCCGGAGAAAGAAAGGTCTCAGATTGCGGCAAATGGCAGGCCAGATAATCTAGGCTCCTGATTCAACTTGCCCACGTGCTTGTGAAATACCTGAAAGCTTAGCATAGCGAGATTGCAAACAAGTGCTCATGTGCAAACAATTACTGTAATCCTTGTAAACTTTGGTCGAGGCACTTACTGCAAACTTATCAAAGTAGCAGGCTAACAATTGAGCACAAGCTTAAATAACAACTCCTATTCATTGCCAGTGCGGAATGGGTTCCATTTTATGAGAGCAAACAGCATCAACAATATAGCGATCAAATTTTGAACACAGGTCACTAGGAGGTTGGGCTTCAATGTCAAGAACAAAGGAAAACAAGAGCAGCCAACAATTTTATTCCTTTGTGAACCTTCCGAGAGCAGGTATCTAGCGAAATTACCTCGTCATGATCCGGAATTACTCTCATCACATAATTATAATCCTCACTGGCCAGTGGCCGAAATGTTCTATCTACTTTATATTTGTGGAAAGCTTATCTGGAGCTTGGTAGGGTAATTAAAAGAATGAGCAAATCTGAAATCTAGATTGTAAAGCTAGATAAGAGTTCAACTCTAGTGCAAAGAAGTCTTCACATTCCAGCCATTGGAAAAAATTGTAGTGCCCAGGGATGTGGGAGGGAATGGACTCACGCCAAAGAAATGATTGAGAGGTCTATGCAATGTAAGGTGATCCCAGGATGCGAGCGATGTTCCTGTTAACGATACCTTTCGCATAGGTAGTAGTTTGATTAGCCATTCTACCAATGAATATGGTAGCACTGCTGACTTTTTCTTCCTGCTTGAGGATGAATATTTTGATCTTTTGAATGGTGCCCCTCACTCTTTTTATTTAATTTTTCCCTTTTTTATCTGTGAAAGGGAATATAGCTCTTCATAATGATGAATTTTGCAGGGTTGCTGACACTAAAGCACTTTTCAGTCTTCTTGAACTTGATGAGTGTGCTTATGGAATAATCAACTACTATGGAATAGCAAGAGGTGTGCTATATAGGTAGGTATGGTGTGAACACATGGAAGAACTGGTTTAATTTCTGGGAATTGTGTGTGTACACCGGTGGAGTATGCGATATCCTCATGAAGGAAGGCAATGCCGAGTGTCAAAGAGGCTAGCAAAAATTAAGTTACGCAAAAAGAATGGCTGGCATTGAGACTTCACACTAGAGGAACATCAAACTTAACAATGCACACTAAATATTCAGACTGCAATAATCATGGTTCATGAAATCTGTTCTGTTTTTGGCATTGGTGGGATAGAAGAAAATAAAATTCCCCAGATCAGTTCGAGAATAAAATCACCCTCACCATACTTAACTCAGGAGGTTCTATGAATAAAAATTAGCAAATTCAAGTATTTTTGCTCTTTCATTGTGTCCATCAATCACCTAACAACAAGTGTTCTCCACCCTTACAACTATTTGTATCAGCTGAAAACTCTCTTATATTGTTTAGTTCAGAATGGCAATGAATTCAGAGATTATTAGTGTGCTCAAAAGCTAGACTGCCAACTTAATCAAGAAAGCAACAGGTTCTCTAACCTAGGTCTCATGAGGCAATAAGAGTTCAACAATTGCACATTGAATACAATCTACCATAGCTAAAGCGATCATAAATTTAAGCATGGGTTTGCTAACCTTCCATGGGCAGAAAAAGAGTTCCACCTTCCCAGACATGTGCAACAGGTCACATCTATCAACAACCAAGAACCATAATTTAGTCAGAAAGCTTGGAACTGAACACGATTAGATACAAGTTATCTTTTATACTTGTATACGATGTAAAGGGAGAATGTTAGTCATACCAATTAATAACAACGGGGGAGAACTGGTTGCACACAAGCACTGATATGACTGAGGTTTATTCTTGTAAAGTTCCTGCATGTATTAAATTTCATTAAGACGAATGCAAGAACACCTTGTATTGGCATTAGTGTAGCACTAAATTGAAAAACTTGCAGACCTTAATTTCACAGTAGGAAGTGACTGGATCTTATTCCTTCCACCATTATGCCGGAGTGATCTTTTGGCCGCCAAAGCAGAATAAACCAAGTACATTACCAAGTCATCATGAGAGATGGCCAAAATATAAATGTAAAGTAACTAGAAATAGCCAGAATGAGAATAAGAACACCTGCACAACAAAGAAAAAATGTCAAGCACATAAATATCGGAAGTGGGGGGACAAAGAAACTTAAATGGATTTGCAGATACTAAGCAGAGTTATGGATTTACATATAGGACAAAGATACCACACAAGACCCTCATGTGCCACCCGTGTGTATATGGAGAGAATTTTACAAGGCTAAAAGAAACTCCAAGATGTAGCCATGCATAGTAAATAGAATAAACATTTTGCTCAGACATCAGATTATACAGTAATGATGTAACCGAAAGACAAAAAATTGACTTGACACATGGGATTCGGAAGAAGCAAGGTAAACAATATGTACAAATTTTTATAGGGTAAAATTGTGATCTTACATATGCACGGAAAATATTTATCAATTTATGCTCAGAGAGATGCCGCTGAGCCCTGTGTGTGAATGCAGAGAATCTACAAGGCTGGAAGAATTTACAACTCAGCGGCGGAGCCCTGCAGGGCAGCACTGAAATCAAAGTACACGTTCAGATTATACGATAACAATGTAAACTGAACAAAAGAAATGATTTGGTATGTTTGGGATAAGGAAAAAAATAAGGATAATTGTGGGGATTGTGGCTGGATTCAACAAGAACTTATTTGTTTAAACCAAACTCTAATACTCAGCAGTCCATAATTATACATGAAGGGAAAAATGCTCCAGGTTTTCAAAACAATAGCAAGCAGATCAACAAAAAACGTTTAACTTTGGTCTCTAAGCAGTGCCCGGGAACTGTATGGTAGTACTTGTTGATTAATTAAATGCATTTACTAACCAGATGTTTGTGCATCAGGATGGACGATACAAATTGAGACCGTCATGCTTTCCGCAGGCATCAGAGAACTGTACTTGGATCCAGAGAGAATTCTAGGAGGCTAGAAGAACATACAAATTGAAGAAGAACCCTGCACAGTAAAGTAAAACAGGTGAGAAATTTAGATGAAAACAACTGTGATGAACCAAGCAAAACAAATAGGAATTATTTTGATGCTTACGAAGTTCGGAATCGAAAAGGCAGGGAAAGTAAGTGTTTTCCCGTTGCATACCTTAGATTAATTGGTCATGCTCTGACTATTGGAATGGTTCCTTTTAGCTTGCGACATTCCCTTCTTAGCTCTTCGCTGTTGTCCCGAAGGACATCTAACACTCGCATTGAACTTGGTAGTCCGTCCCTGGGCAGCGACTTGATGTCATTACAGCTGTAGATCGTCAATTTTTCCAGAGAATTTGGGAGGCTGTTTGGCAGCGACTGGATGGCACAACACCACACGATCACTAATTCCTGCAGAGAGCTCGGAAGGCAGGGCAGCGACCGGATGGACGAACACTGATCGACAGTTAGTTTCTTGAGGTTGATAAGCTTGTGTAGCCCTGCAGGGAGGCGCTGCAGCTTCCAGAGGAACTCCCTATTCTCTCTGAGGATTGAAAACCGCAGCTCCTGGAGGGAGGTGAGGAGCTGAAGGGCCTCCTCTTGCTCCTTTGTGAAGCACTCCACCTCCTCGCCGATCATGAGATCTAACTTGGTGAGGGTTGGTGAGAGGAGGCTGCAGATGGGCGCAGACAGGAACCCTGTGCTGCTCCCCGTCCGCAGATAAAGAGGGTTAGTGGAAACTGGAGTCGGAATCGAGGGATCACATGCCGAGAAGAAATTAGAGTCAGAATCGAGGGATAATTTTGTGAGGCAGCCGTGGCTGAGGAGAGACCACAAACCATCTGAACCACTCAATTCGAAGAATAACTCGCACTCCGAGAGAGAACTGAGATTTGAGAGGGCATGTAGTGTCTCCATGTACTTCGCGCCGTTTAGGGTGAGGCCTTGCAGGCAGGTTGGGAAAGGGAAAACAGAGGACGTGGATGAATAGGAGGAGAGGAACTTGGGGCAAGACCATACATACAAGCAGCGGAGGGAGCGGAGACGCTGGAGTCCCCCTCCGCCTCCTTCTCCACTGTCTGCTGATTTGTGGTCGTTGTCGTGCATTGGATTGGAAAGTATGCTCATATTTTTGCAACCGAAAATCCACAATTCCTGTAGGTGGGGAGGCAAGAGAAGCAGGCCTTCTGCTGCGGCTGCTGTTATGAGTTCCTCCTCTCCGACTCTTGTCTCTTGCTCCTGCTGCTCTCCAGAAATAGTTTCTGCACCCTCCGCCACACCCAATCCAGTTATATTCTCACAGTCAGATATTCTCAACTTTGAGAGGTTGGGAAGGAAAGAGAGCATCAGTGTCAATTCTTTCCCACTAACATCACACCCAGTAATCTCGAGGTGTTCAACTGGAAACCGGTATATGCCATCATTGGCACCTTCAACGGGCAACAAGAAACTGCTCGCACCATTTATCTCGATCTTCTTCAGAGATGTTAGCGCTCGGAGGTGTTCCAATGGCAGGAAAGGGATTTTTTTCATACACAACTCTTCTAGATCAGTTAGATTAGAGAAATTTAACCCGCTCCAGAACACATCACCCTGGCCACCTCTTCCCTCAATCTTCAGATTTAACTCCAATTCCCGTCTCGGGTAAATCAGCTCCTCAAAACACGACCCAACTCCTGCTATGTAAGCAGAGCACGGAGCACATGTCCGCCAAGGGATAGGAGGGAATGACACTAGTTTCGGGCAGCCTACAATGACGATCTTCCATAATCTAGGAAACCACCCTATTTTCTCATCCCGCCATGCTTGAGAGCAAGTAGGAGGTTGTGAAAACGGCAACTCGATGAGTTCAGGGCAACCTCTAATGACGAGCACTTCCAAGTGAGAAAATAAAGGACAAGTGCCACTCCCGACCCATTTTTTCAAACAAGATATGTTACTTAATTTTAGACTTCTCAAATTATGAAAGTTTGGAGATGAGATACTACAACCCTGATACTCTTCTCCAAGCTCATTAGCCATCCACATCTCTCCTAGAGGTGGAAGGTTTTTCCAGGATATGCCATCTAGACAAAGAGATTCCAAACATTCAACCGAGAGATTCTCACATAGCCATGCTGGGCAGTTAGTGCCCCCATGCCCTCTAATGCACAACTCTTCAAGATTGCTATGTGGTACAAGACTTGCAAGAACATTTTGTTCTTTCACATGATCCTTATTGGATCGCTTGACATCCCATTCTAATATGAGTTCTCTCAAACAGTTCTTCTGTAACAGTTTTGCTTCTTTTGCTTCCTCTTTTGTTTGCACATTTTCAAGATTATAAATGCCAAGTGATCCTCCAATCTCTTTCATTGGCCCGAGTTGACTCAGCTCAAAACCCTCACTCTTCTTTCCCACTCTGAACTCCCTTAATTCCTGGAGGAATTTCAGTTTTCCCACCCCACGAATATCAGAATGAAGGTGAAGATTTTCTGTTCCGACAAGAAAATGACGCAATTTTACAAGGTTTCTCATATGTCTTATTGACCTAAAGTCACAATAATGATCTTGTAGATCAATCACCTCTAGATGATACAATCTACACAACGAACTTGATAAACAAAAGCCATAGTAATAATACGCCAACTTGACCCTTAGGTAGCGAAGATGGACAAGTTTTGAATAGTTGTGCAATATATCCTCCAAATTATACGAAACTCCGGACAAAAAAATTACGCGAAGCGCTCTAGCTTCCCTAAACAAACCATCAAAAGTTTTCGCAAAGCTTACATGGCAATCTCCAAATAACATTAAGGTGCGCAAGTTTTCAACTTTCATTCTTTCACCAAGTGCACTCAAATTTCCTTCATAGTCCTCAAACAACACCCTATCCTCGATATCTGTGTTATCTACAATGATAGACAAGTGACGTACGGATGGGGGAATTTCTATGTGCCTCACTTTAGACACATAGATGCATATACACTCATCCGACGAAACCTTCACCGCCAAATCATGCAGTAGGTCGTGGATAACATAAGAAGGACTTTTATTTTCCAATTTATTCATTTTGAAAAAACCATGATTGACCAAGTTGTTTAAATAGCACAGTCCAACATCTTCAAGTTTTTTTCTGTTCTGATCAGATGAATGCAGAATTTCGAGCCCAATCCACAAGTGAACCAACTCCTCACTACCAAACTCGTAATCTTCAGGAAACAAAGCACAAAAAGAAAAACATCGTTGTAGATAGAATGGAAGATAATCATAACTAAGCTTTAAAGCTGGCATGATGTCATTATCGTCCTTTTGTAATTGCCATTCTTTACTTTCCAGAACGCTTCTCCAGTGGTTCAATGTAAGTTTGTTTCTTAGTAGTCTACCGACAGTTCTGGCTGCAAGAGGTGAACCCTTCAGCTTATCCACTATTTTCCTCCCAACGTCAGCTAGTTCTGGCTGGTCAACCCATGGCTCTTGGTCACCAAATACACACTCTTCGAAGAAAGACATAATATCTACTGAGCATAGACGCTCCAATTCTAGTGAGCATTTAGTTGTCTTAACCGTGTCTGCTAGCTCAGGTATCCGAGTCGTTACTATAACCATGTTTCCTTTTGCATCCTCTGTTTTAAATGGAGCTATTACCTTTTTCCACTCATTCTCATGATGTGGCCACACATCGTCTAATACAAGTAAGACCCTCTTTCCTTTTAATCTTTGTTCGATTAGCTCTTCGTCACTACAATTTTTGTTTTCATTTTCAACTTTGGGGATCTTTTGAACTATGTCTTTTGCCAACCTATTTGCATTAAAATCGAGAGAGACGCATATCCAAATGGGAACCTGGAAGTCACTCTTCTTTTGTTTATATATGTGTTGTGTGAAAGTTGTCTTCCCGATACCCCCGGGGCCAACGATTGGAAGCACTGTAAGTTTAGCGTATTCACTATTAGCAATTTCATCTAAGACAGTCTTCTTGTGGAGATCCCTCCCATATAACTTAGGCTCTATAATTTGTGGGGTGGTTTTGGGTCTGTTCATAGCAATATCTTGGGAAGGGGTGTTGCTAGAGTTGACTAACTCTAGATTGAGAATGTTGGAGACCCTAGCACATACGGGCTTCAGCTGCTCTGTGATGTCCGATATCCTTGTTGACATTTCGACCCTATCAAACTTGAGTTTTGGTGGTTGAGCATGACGATTGACAGACGCTGACGAGGAGAAGCAAGAGAGGTGTTTACCGACATTGAGTGTATTCACACAAGCCCTTGCCGTGTGGCGAGCGTTGTGGGCGAGGTTTCGGACGCAGCCTGCAGGATGCTCGGTGGCGGCATGGTAGGTGCCGTCCAGCTCATCCTGGATGCGGAAGTAGTCGACCTCGTCCAGCACGTCGTCGGCCCCGTAGGCCAGCTGCCGCAGCCTGTCCAGCATCTCAGCCAAGGCGCGGCTGTGGATCTCCCTGCCCCGGACTCTGTCCAGCATCGCCTGCGCCTCTAACAGCACCAGCTTCAGATCCTGTATGTTGGACCCGAGCTTGGTGCTGGCCGCCCACGCCTCCAGCACGCCGCCGGACAGTGGGCTCAGCGCCCTGCCCACCACCCAGCTCGCCGCCGAGATGCCCATCGGCTCCATCGACCCGTTGGCTCCGGTCCTGCCTGCGTGAGAGCAGTCAAGATTCAGCTGAAGATTGTGGTCGGACGGAGCTACAGGTATCTCTAGATTCTAAAAAAAAGTTACTCGTTGCTTGGGAAATTTGTACAAGCTCCCTCAAAAAGAAAAAGAAAAAACTTACACACTACACTAGTGTTGCAAAGAGAGCATGAGGAGGAGGAAAAAAAATGTGTCTGTACCAGAGGAGGGCGTCAAGGAAGGCTACGCTGCACCAGAGGAGAAAATGTGAAAAGCGAAGGTGTGTCCAGACCTCAAGATGCAACGAGAGTACGGATGGCAGTGCAGCTGTGTGGAGATGTGGAGATACTTGGAGCCGATATTTATAGAGGTAAAAGCAGCGTAGGCAGATTCAGTGTAAGGGTAGCCAGTAGGATGGATTAAAATAACCACCGCTCAGGGCGGATGAACTAAACTAATCGCTGCATGCCGGTGAAAACTTTTTGGATGTGAAAGGGAGAGCAAAGCCAAGACTGACCTCGAATCCCGTGACAAGTTTCACGCTCTCGCGAATACAGAAATATATCATTTTCTTTTACTTTTAAAGGGCAGACCCAGATGCCTACTCTAGTATTGAACATATAAACCCTGCTAGACTCCTAGGCAGAACCGTTGCCTCCACGTCGCTCTATAAACGCTATGCCACCGCCTGTAATTTTCGTGCCCCGCAAGGGTATTTTCGTAATTTCACCTACATGCAAGTACATGTGTATAAAGCTGTGTCTGCTGCAATGGAGAAACCCTAGCCGTCGCCCGCCCCCGCGTCCCCCCGAGCCCCTCTTGCCGCCGCCACCCCTCCCCTCTGCCCCATGCACTAGTGCAGAACCGGCCTTTAGTGCCGGTTCGTAATGGCA